TGTATATAAGGGGGACTACATACACACAGCTACATTACTGTGTGTGAGGAATCGATAGTAAAAGTGCGCTTCGCTTATTCTGGCCAGCGATTGGTTAGCAAATTGCTATTGGAAAGGTAAGGCACCCCTGATTGCCCTGATCACTATATTTGTGTACATGAATAAGAGTGGATTGTTGTACATAAAAAAAAAGACCTGCCCCGAAAATAAGACCTAGTGTGTTTTTTTGAGTAAAATAAAATATAAGACACCTATGCACCGTGCAGGGATTTGGTTCTACATCTAGTCCTGCTTCGGGCAAGCAGGGCTAAATATAAAGCAGAGGACCCGTTTTGTACAAGTGATTTCAGAGGCTATAAAGCCGCTGAAATCACTTGTATGCATCCTAATTGTCCGCCCCCTTGCCGGCTGCCTCCCTCTGTGCCGTGGTTTTCGGGGTCCCCGCCCTTCTGGGGGGACCCCAGCCTACGGCAAATACCTTCAGGACGGAGAGCGGAAAGCAGAGTCTGTTCTCCGCTCTTCTCTGTGATCAGTGACAGAGGACCGCATCCTCGCCAGAGCTCCTGTGTCAGCTGTCACAAACGTAGATGTACAGGAGATAGAGCACACGTGTGCTCTATCTTCTATACTGGAGGGCAGGCTCATAAAGAGAACCTGTAATCTCCGAATGCTATCACACATATGTTATATGTTGCTACATTGAATTTGTAAAGGCTGCTGCCCTTTTGCCCTTTAACCTCTTATGCAAAATAGACCTCTGCTTTACACAGCTATTTAGCTTTAATAACCGTTCCCTTTATATGATTTAAGCTTTTTCATACCATCTGGGTTGGGGCTGCACTGGCTGTTTTTTCCAGCACACCCGAAAGCAACTTGTCATGGGTGGTGACAGTTCACACCACTGGGTGGTGTGCGCTTAAAAAAAGTACAGCATGCACGCCCTGTGGTGAGCCCATAGAAAGGTTAAATGCATATATAGGAACTGTTTTACCTGCCAACAGGTTTGTGTTTCTGCCCATCCAGTTCCTGACATTTACACAGCTCTGCCACACAGCACAGCCCTCTCTGGCAGGGGAGGAGAGCTGATCCTTCTCTGCTGCAGTTTACTAACACATTGGGTCTTCTCCTCATCCCCACCCTGTGACTGGACAATTAAATTAAAGGAATTAGCAGACTGATGAGTGCAGCTATCTGCCACTCTGCTCTCTTCTTACAGCGTGCTTCTTGCACTACGGCTTAAATGGTTATCTGCTTAGTGTGAATGAAGTTGTTAGTGGAAGAGGCAGGGAAGAAGATGGGCCATACTCTGCTCGAATGTTGGAGTCCTTCTGACTCCAACAGCAGGTATCCACTGGATGTGCAGATACATGCAAACAGCAACAGACAGCGGCGGCCCCTGTCAGTCTGTCATTGCTTTGTACAGGTTACCCAGCTGCAACTGTTATACACAGGAATCCACTGTCCGTCCCTATTCACACATGTGAATGAGCCCTTAGAATCTGGCTAGTGTCTTTGTTATGAATCTTTAGGATCTTTGAGAATGCAGCAATTCCAGTGAAGACTGAAATGATCAAGTTAATAATGCAAATGTGCTCAAGTCAAAACAGGAATTAAATGTACTTTGATAGGAGTTCTGTGTAATGCCCTCAAGCAGTGATGGTTAACTTATGATATACATAGGCCTTAAGTGTCACAAACGGTCTGCACATAATATTTGCTGTGTGTAATGCTACGAAGACAGAACGGCAACGTCGGCCATGCGTTAGGAGACGTTTAGACACTGTAGATGGTGACTGCGGGCATGCTTCAGGAGACGTTTAGAGACTGTAGATGGTGACTGCGGCTATGTGTCAGGAGAAATTTAGAGAGTGTAGATTGTGACTGCGGGCATGCGTCAGGAGACGTTTAGAGACTGTAGATGGCAACTGTGGGCATGCATCAGGAGACGTTCAGAGGCTGTAGATGGTGACTGCGGGCATGTGCTAGGAGATGTTTAGACACTGTAGATGGTGACTGCGGGCATGCGTCAGGAGACGTTTAGAGACTGTAGATGGCGACTGTGGGCAAGCATCAGGAGACGTTCAGAAAATGTAGATGGTGACTGCGGGCATGCATCAGGAGACATTCAGAGGCTGTAGATGGTGACTGCGGGCATGTGCTAGGAGATGTTTAGACACTGTAGATGGTGACTGCGGGCATGCGTCAGGAGATGTTCAGAGACTGTAGATTGTGACTGCGGGCATGCATTGGGAGACATTCAGAGACTGTAGATGGTGACTGCGGACATACATCAGGAGATGTTCAGAGACTGTAGATGGTGACTGTGGGCATGCGTCAGGAGATGTTAAGAGACTGTAGATGGTGACTGCGGACATGCATCAGGAGATGTTCAGAGACTGTAGATGGTAACTGCGGGCATGTGTCAGGGGGCATTCAGAGACTGTAGATGGTGACTGCGGACATGCATCAGGAGACGTTCAGAGACTGTAGATAGTGACTGCGGGCATGCATTGGGAGACATTCAGAGACTGTAGATGGTGACTGCGGACATACATCAGGAGATGTTCAGAGACTGTAGACGGTGACTGTGGGCATGCGTCAGGAGATGTTCAGAGACTGTAGATGGTGACTGCGGACATACATCAGGAGATGTTCAGAGACTGTAGATGGTGACTGTGGGCATGCGTCAGGAGATGTTCAGAGACTGCAGATGGTGACTGCGAGCATGCGTCGGGAAACATTCAGAGAATGTAGATGGTGACTGCGGACATAATGGTGACTGTGGGCATGCGTCAGGAGATGTTCAGAGACTGCAGATGGTGACTGCGAGCATGCGTCGGGAAACATTCAGAGAATGTAGATGGTGACTGCGGACATACATCAGGAGATGTTCAGAGACTGTAGACGGTGACTGTGGGCATGCGTCAGGAGATGTTCAGAGACTGTAGATGGTGACTGCGGACATACATCAGGAGATGTTCAGAGACTGTAGATGGTGACTGTGGGCATGCGTCAGGAGATGTTCAGAGACTGCAGATGGTGACTGCGAGCATGCGTCGGGAAACATTCAGAGAATGTAGATGGTGACTGCGGACATACATCAGGAGAGGTTCAGAGGCTGCAGATGGTGGCTGCGAGCATGCATCGTGAGACATTCAGAGACTGTAGATGGTGACGGAAGGTATGCGTCAGGAGACACTCAGAGACTGCAGACGGTGACTTGGGGCATGTGTTGGGAGACATTCAGAGACTGTAGATAGTGACTGCGGGCATGTGTCAGGAGACTTTCAGAGACTTAGATGGTGACTGCGGGCATGCGTCAGGTGAGGTTCAGAGGCTGCAGATGGTGACTGCGAGCATGCATCGTGAGACATTCAGAGACTGTAGATGGTGACGGAAGGTATGCGTCAGGAGACGCTCAGAGACTGCAGACGGTGACTTGGGGCATGTGTCAGGAGACGTTCAGAGACTGTAGATAGTGACTGTGGGCAGACGCTCAGAGACTGCAGACGTGCTACAGAAGTTTTTAGAGATTAGGGACACGCTGCTGGAAAAAGAGGCCACTTCGTAACAACTAGAGGAAAGAAAATGAGCACAAAATGAACTTTGCTGTCGTAACAACCAATCCGATTTCACCTTTCATTTTCTGCCAAACTAACAGAAGAATACTGATTGGTTGAATCATCGATTTTTTGCTTATGTTCTTTCCTCCAGTTTTCATGAATCAGCCGAGACTATTTGTTCTAGCGGGAGTTGTCTTCTATAATTACAGCCACAGTTGTCTTACATTTTCCATCCTATTTGCTGAGGCTGTTTGATTTTATTTGCCTTCAGAATGTTTCTCATTGTCTTTACTTGTCATATAACAATAACATGGCTTCCATTGTTTTAGTTATGTGACGCTGACATTGTTTATATTGTTTTACTTTCGTATTTTGTTTTTTTGTGGCTGTTTATATTACAGTGACATTATTAATATTATACAGGATTTATACAGCGGCAACAGTTTGTACAGCGCTTTCCAATATAAAGGGAGACATTACAGTTAGAATACAAATCAAGAAAAGATGGTAAGGAGGGCTCTGCCCCTGAGAGCTTACAATCTAAAAGGGAGGGGCAAGTGATACATGTGGAGGTAGCTGTGTGGTGGATGAATTGTGTGAGAACGTGATAGTTCAGTGGTTAGTTGGGGTGGGATAGGCTTCCCTGAAGTGATGAGTTTTTTTAGGGATCAGAGTAGGCGATTTGAGTTGGGTAGGGAGTTCCATGGGATGGGAGAGACTCTAGAGAAGTCCTGGAGGTGAGCATGGGAGGAGTTGACGAGGGAGCTGGAAAGCAGGAGGTTTTTGGATGGTTAGGGTGATACTTTAAAACAAAGTTGGAGATGTAGCTGGGGGGCAGAGTTGTGGATGGCTTTGTAAGTGGTTGTTAATATTTAGAATTGTATTCTTTGGCTAAATGGAAGCCAGTGAAAAGATTGCAGAGAGGGGTTGGCAGAGCAGGTTACTAGGGTCTTATTTTTGAGAAAAGGGCCTGCTCACACCAGAAGCGTGCTACCACGCTGTGGCTGGGGCAAGTGGTGCAATGCGTCAATTACAGCTACTGTTTATTTTTTTTAATTGAATTGTCAGAAAGTAAGATTGTATGCACTCGTTGCAGTGTGGTGTAGTGGGTTACAAGACTCTGTGCTGAAAAAAGCACTGCATGTCCTACTGTGGTGTGAATCGACGTCAGAGGATGCAGGGCAAATTGCTTTGCTTATGCGTTGGGACTGCATTGGAGAAGATTACCCAGCACAGCCCAATGCATCTGGTGTGAACGGGCCTGAAAACTCTTGCATTCATGGTCAGCAGGAGCATAAAAATAATAAGAATTCATTATATAACTGGGAATAATGAAAGTTTTCTATTGTGGGTTTGAAACAAGCTGCTGCCAAAACAAGTTGTGTTGCACGTGTTTCTCGTCTGCTGACATCTATAGCCCATGTTGTATTGAAGACCAGCAAGGAAAAGATAAGCACCCAGGGTGTGCCTTACACTGCCTATGCCAGGGATCAACTGAAATGTCACCCTTCACAGCACAAACACTTGTGTGTGAGTTTTGTGAGTGTTTAATGAAAAGTACCTCACTTTTATACTGCATACCTAGTGAAATTGATTTAATAAAGGAAATCCGAATGTTTACTTTACAAAGTGAATGTTCACCTAGCTTAGTGGATATGATGAAACTGTGTTCACTTAATATATTCAGTCATGTGCAAGAAAAATTAAAAAGACAACTTATGCTTGCATGTGATTGGATGACAGAAGTGGACTTCCCTGCTTCTTCTACTCCTGAAATGTTTCTATTGGGTATTCTAAATGTGTATGTACACCTGACTCGTCCTTTATCAAATAAGTGCTGTTTTAGACAAAGTGCAATTATTCTTTTTGCCTCCCCTCCACCGGTCTAACAGATCTCCCCCTCCACAGATGTATATTTACAGAGATCTGACACCGGTGGTCTCCTGTGTTGTTGACATCCCATGCTGCAAATCTCCACTGTCCTGGCTTAGCCTGCACAGTAGATTCCCATAGAGGTCTATGGGGCTCACCTCCTGGCCCGGGAAGAGACATGGTAGATGATCCCCAGACAAGTGTATGGGGCTCTATTTTGCAGGCACTTGAGGTGCAGGATGTAAACAATCCTGCCATGGGCAACTGCTCCAGTTTTGATAAATTCCCCCAGTATGTTAATGCACAAAAAAACAGAACAACAGCACATTAACATTCATGTGTAAAGCAACAAATTGAACCTGAGCAGACTGAATGGACCCTAAAGTTAACCTGTGCCTAGGAACCTTTTTATTGCGTGCTCTGTTTTAATTGTTAGGTTTGTGACAGGTTTACTTTAAAGTTACACCTACCAACTGAGATGAGAAAGAGGGACACCTTCCAGAACAATGGATTTAGGCAATGGGCCAGCCCCCTAATTATAAGGACCATTAAAAAAAACAGAATTTACTTTTTTTCACCATTACTTTTCTATTATTCAGTTTGTTTACAAAAGTAAATAAGATAATTAAGAGATAGGATGAAGGTTTTATTTTAGTATTTAAATAGAGCCTTTTCATAGATATGTGTACATCTGAGCAACAAGAGAGATGACTGAGGAGAAAAGAGGGAGAGAGGGGCTTGGTCCCAAAAGAGGGCAATCCCCCCAAATGAGGCTATGGGCATTCACAGATGACCCGTGTAATTAAACCATTTGGGTATCACTTGCTTCATTTGGTGGTGGTGAATGTAATGCACATTTGCTGTGGTTGTGGATGATTTGGAAGTTATAAGGGGGCTGCAATTAGTGCACTTGACTCTCCTTTCAATTACTTGGGATTGCAGTGACAGGTATAGCTATTACCGGACTCACAAGACTCTTTTTAGAGATGTTATTTATTGGCAAAATATTTACGATTTGTCAGTTAGGTTTTATGAGTGTACTACTTAACTTCTTCTAAGCCTCAGGGTACTTTTTTGTGTGAAATTATTTGTGTAGCACGTGTAGGTGTCAGAATGACAGCAGTGATTAACACCTAGGTCATACATGAGAGTGTCTGAGGAAAGAATTGTCCAGTAGGAACTGCACAAAATATTCACTGTCTCCCTTTTATTTCTCTGCATTGGAGACAAAAAGAGTGTCTAAGTGGCTAGTATGGGCTACAAGAGCACATCTTTCTTTAGATACTTTTACAGCTGATATCGTTGTACTGTCCCCCCTTTCCCCACACTACAGGGGTTAAATACTTGTTAGTTCTAGTGGTGAGATGAAGAGGCTGTATTACTTACCTTAAAAGAGAACTCTGGGGTAAGTGTTTTTCCCCATAGTTCTCTTTAGGGTCATGGGAGGACATATACTAGCGTCCTCCCGTGCCCCAAAGCTCAGTATATCGTGAGCTATTGCCCGCAATATACTGAGAGTGCGGCAGCCAGGACAGATCCCGACAATACTGCCGTGATCCATCCAGCTGCGTGAGTGACAGCTGGCTCTGCCTTTCTAGAGGCAGAGCCAGCTGTGCCCGCCCCCTCCCCCGTCCGTTCCTCCGCTCAGAGCTGGAGGATCGGAGAGGGGAGGGGGGAATGCCTGCGGGGAGCGGTGACTAACAGTCACCACTCACTGCAGGGAGATGGTCGGAAAGTGAGCGAGCGACAGTATGTGTTCGCTCACTTCCTGATCAATAGAGCCGACCTGTGACAGCTTCTTTGTCACACATCGGCTCTAACTATGAGGATGAGTGGAAATCACTTGCCTTATAGTTCTCCTTTAACCCCTGCTCCCAGCAGGCTCTGGAGCTCTCCTCTTCTCTCTGATGCTCTGGGTTGTGACGTTTTTCTTGCCGCTGGACAATGCAGGACTATTAATTCTGCATAGTATGCAGAGGAGACAAGTGTGTGACCATGGAGTGCCTTAGAGAGGAGGCTTGGTTGGACTGCTTGCAGAGATGGAGGTAGTCTACAGGAGCAGAGTATAAGGTAATTATTAGTCCTTATATCTCTAACCCTAGGCGAACACTTAACAAACATTTAACCTGTGGGGAGGGGGCACTGCAAGGGTTTTTTTTTGCAGTCCGGAGTTTAGCCTTGAATAAATGAAGATTATAACTGAATTCAGAACTGCGTGCAAATACTTATGGTTGATGGAATCATATAATCACAGCTTTGTTAAGGACATTTAGTCAACAGACATTTGTCTGTACTGTCCCCTTTGCAGTCTAAACGTGCAAAGCTTTGGCCGTTTGTGTGAGTTGGCTGCCAGCCCACTGGGCAGTCATATCAAAATAGAGAGGACTGAAGTACCATAGGTACCATCACATGCACCTAGAATCTACAGTCCATATTTCTATAGACTGGGCATGACAGATACTATCGCTGGTGTGTCATTCAGTTCAGGGTACAATTTCTATCCCTGGAGTCAGAGAGTACTGTATTAGTGCCACATTTGGAAACTTGCATCCACCTGGCCATAATGTCATGACTTCTGTGTATTTCATGAAGTTAAACTACCAATACACGGTTACTTAGCTGCAGGGTGAATGAGAGAAGTCAGTCTAAACAGCTTTGATGGAGGCATCTTCAGTGCTGGCTATTATATTGAAACAGCTGGCACCCCGGCTGTCCGAATACCCGAACAATGGCTTAATCTATAATCTGATTATATGTAGTCATTGTTCAGCTGAAAATTTTTCCACCCGGCTGCTCTAATTTTTCAATCAACTTCCGTGGATCGGTGTGGTGCGGACAGGGCCTCCTACGGCTTGAAATTTGATTCAGCAGGAATCCACCAAAATTCAAGCTGTGTGTTGTCAGGAATGTCAGCTTTATGGTTTCGTCTGCTAAAAATGGTTTGTACGATTTCTAATGCCAGAACTGCCTCTTGAAAAAAGGTTGCTCTTTGGTCTCCTTAGAATAATACATATTTATTTATTTATATATCCGTTTTAGTAGCGAAAGGCTGAACAGCACTAGTCTGACTGGTTTTCACATGCCAAGTAATCTTAATAAGTAACTGTAATTGAGAGTATCTAGAGATATTCCTTGTTGACTTTGCAGTAAACAAATTTATAGATGGCAACATGATTTAAATATATGTTATCCTTCTTAGATTAATTGTTAACTAAATGCACTTTTCATGCTCACACAGCTGTTGTATAGAATAGCAAAAATAACAGACTCGTTCTGTATATACATCTCCGTTTGGAATCATAAACAGCAAATGTAATTAGCAATGACATTATGTTGTTGATGATCCAATTTAAGTGAGGTTACTCCTGCAATGTTGGAGGAAAAATATACTCATACAAAGTTTTTTGGTTTGTATTCAGCTCTGTCTTGCCTCTGCCTTACTCTTTTCATAACTATCCAATGGTGTTCCTATTTTACAAGAAGAGTTCATGTCTATTGGAGCCGATACAGTCCCTGAGCTCCATCATCTTCTAGCTGGGTTTAGCTCAGGCAGTGGGACCTTCTCAGCATTTGGCTTGGTAATAATGCTGTGTAGAGGGTCTATTGAGCCTTAAATTGTATCTCAACCCAAGAACATGGCTTATTGCTTTATTCTCAACTGGCGATTCTGCCAGTAGGCAGGTAAACCAATCCTAGGGTGACAATGCTCACTCACTGGACTGTATTCATGGAGGATCAACATTGTCACCCCAGGACAAGAAGTGCCTTAGGACTACAGAACACTTCCCTCCCTCAATAATATAGTGGGGGAGGTTTTCTGTGGTCCTCAGGGAGAATTGAGAACAATGATAATTGATAACGGTGAAGCAGAGGTAGAGAGCACAAGCAGTTACCAGCTCACAAGATTGCTGACATGCTTAGCAGGTATTTTTTTTTTTGCACTTATCAAACAGAACAAAATAAAACACATTTACTGGCATATTAAAGAGGTCAAAAGGGAGCAAAGAAGAGGATTGTCTATATGGCAGCTCCCTAGAGCTCAAAGACTTTTCTATGCAAATAACACCTTTCTAAAGCATTGGCACACCCCATTGTGACAGTGTTCAAACCTAGTGATAAGTTCTAGTGATAAGTTGCTCAGGAACTGAGCACTGTATTGTGGAACTGGGATAGGAATTTCCTACTTTCCCCGCCACCACCCAGTGGAAACCTCAGCTTAATTACTTTCAGTGCATGTGTATTTTAAGGTCAACTGTTGGGAATCTGAACCAGGTATACAAAGAATAGGTAGAAACACTCATGTGCTAGGGTTGCCCTTTATGTACTGAAACATGGGAAGTTCGGAACTACGCAGTTTATTCAGGGAATAAATGACCCTGACCTAATTTGATTACTAAAGAAACAATATAACTGAAACATGTAATTAATAAAGTATTATTTTCTTTAGAGGTTGCTGTATTATTATGTCACAAGCTTGTACATGTTTACAAGACACAGTATATAGCCAATCACTGGTTTTTAAAACAAATCTATCATGGCATAGTGTTGTATTTCTTGTATAACTGTCATTTTATGTGCTCTTTTCACAGGTTTATGCTGCAATCAAGTGGATACAAGTGATTACAGCTACACTAAGGTATGAGAACCAGTTAGCTGGACTGTCATTACTTGGGCACAACCATTGCTGCTTTAAGCCACACCTTTGGTCAGAGGTTACATAACCTCAACATGATCTGCTCCACAAAATATAAAACACTCCACTCTAGGACTTTTTCCTGCTTTTTTATTAAAATCACCTGACATTTGAAGGACATCTGTCACCGCCTACTTGGACACACAGCAATACACTAATTAGAGTACATAGAGCGTTTCCTCAGAGTCTGTCATTGCCTAGATTAATGCCAAATGTAGAACAAACTTTCCTCTGGGCGTGCCATTTTATGTAATTATCTGCAGTGACCAAGCTCAGAAAAGCACTGTGATCCATCAAAGCAACTGATTTCTACTGCTAATGACCTGACAGTCACAGAATGGCATCTGCATTGGTTGCAGTCTGTTGTACACATTAGGATCTCGCTTTATACAACGTGTGACAGGTTTTCTTTAAACAGTTACGTTTCAGAGTCACTTTCACATTTCAGTTATGGGCCTATTAATTTATTGTTATAGTTTTACTTTTTTAATTTTTGGGACAAACATCCACCCCTCCTCTCCACCTCATCCAATCAGAGAATGCCTTATATACTGTATATTGAAAACATACAAGGCGTTCTTTGAATAACGGCGGTGCTGTGGGCAAAGGGAAGCCACTGGAGCAGCACTCAGAAGGGGCCAGCTAACATTGTATGTATCGCAAGCTACTACAGTGATTTTCAGCCCTTCAGATATCATATGTGGACACTTACACTGAGCCAAGCTGGGCAAATGTAAGTATCCATAAACAATCCTTCCTGGAGTTCTGCTTTAATTTGATTATTAGCTACCTATAGCATTTTACAATTTTGGCTAAGGTCCTACTGATTTACCAATAACTGTGTCGTTACACCAGTGATTTTTTTTCAAGCAAACATTTCACTTAAAATTAAAAATTTTCCAATATTTTTTTACTTTCTATGTATCAGAAAGACAATAATTAAGTACAAATATATGCATTAACAAGCTCAGTGACTGAGAGGCTGATAAACTTAGAGGCCATGTCACCACCTTGTCACCAAAAATACAGAAAAATAAGTATATTAAATTCTCACTTGTAGTGTTTTTCCTTTCCATAAATGATTTGTATTCACTTGTAAAGTGCCTGTGAACTTGACCCCTTCCTCTTTTATCATAGTTCTTTCTTCTTCTGTGAGTGTCTCTGCGCTGACCCATCATTTTCACTGTCGCCTCGCCTCCCTGCATATGTAGCTGTCAGGAAGGAGTGAAGGGGAATACTAGAGTGTCACTTGAATGAGTCTGCTGGGGCTGCTACCATCACATCCAAGATGTTGGCACCCATCAGCAATCTCAGGGCTTTGTTTTGTCTACACAAAGGAGGGCTTTATTGGTCAATAACATGCATAAAATACATTAAATTAACATATACAGGCTTATTTACAAAAGGGTGAAGAGTTTAGAGAAGATAGGAGAAGTGAACAATCTAGGACAACATAGCTGAACTGAAAAGTTAGTTGAATTGGAGACTTTTTCCAAATTAGCTATGTTGTCCTTAGATTGTTCACTTCTCCTGCCTTCTCCAAACTCTTCACCGTTTACTGAATAATCCTAATAATCTTATGGGAAGTTTGTTATTGGCGACAGGGTCTCTTTATATTTAGACAGTCAGTGACTCTGCCTGAATAGTGATCTTCTCCTTCAGAAAAGACCATGTGACCAGTGCCAGAGCATTGCTTAAGTCACCTGGCATAAAGTAACATTTAAAGGTTAATTTTAAGTTACCTGGCACCACAGAAACCCCATAGGATGGGGATTAGAGGAAATGGCGAGGCTTTCAGCTCTGTTCCCCAGAGAGCTGCACGTTTTATTTTTGGGTATTAAAATGACAACAATTTATTTTAGGTTATACAACTGCTTTAATCTGTATCAACCGATGCACAGCTATGACTGTTTACCTTGCAAGCCATATAGCTTTTTAGATCCTGCAGGTATCGTTATACATCATATGTCATCGGGGTGTGTAACAATGAAGGAAACAACCACATGACTCGCCGTCACTTTCCTTGAGTACTAAATATAGATGCTGAAATGACATAACAGTGCAGCTAGCCAAACCTGAACTATCATATTGTTTTTCATGAACATAAGTCTGTGTTTTTTCATGACAAAGTTTAGTTTACGTCTTAATGATTGACAATGTCTTATGATTATCAGGATTATGATTAGCAGGAGACTGCTGGTAGGGGGTTAGGGGATTGGACGTTCTCATTGCAGGATCAAGGAAAAGCATAAGACAGTCAATATTGAAAAGCTGAACAGACAATGTACAGAGAGTCTAAGGACAAATGCCATATGACATCAGCCAGGAGCTGAGGTCAGGATCCTGTAAACAAGCAGACTAGACAATTATAACATACAATCATACTGAGGGAACATAGACTAAAGGTTGTGTCCCCAGAATTTAGCAATGGCTCATTGTAAAGGGACACGATATTAGAGTACCTAGTCTTCACTAAAATGGCAGAGGGTGGCATTGTGACGGTGGTACTCCCAGATTGTGACTATTGCTGGAGAAACAACTGAGACAAACAGGATGGCCAATAGGAATATACTTAGGTGGCAGCAAAAAGCAGGCAGTAGAAGTTTGCCAGAGGCAACCACATGGAGGCAGAAGCAACCCAGTAATTTGTGGTGGAACAGAAGGCTACCAGGAATGCAAACAAACAGCCACTCAAGAGTAAGGGCAGACACTAGGCACTGGATCTGAAGGTTACCGGGGAAACAACACCGAGGCAAAACCAACCCAACCGCTTGAGCTAGACCACAAGGTAGCCAGGAAAGGAACAGAGAATGAAACATATCCCCTAGAAAATGACTAGGAAAAAACAAGTCAGGAATTACAAAGTGGGAGCTGAACATACAGAAACAGGTCAAGGTTCAGAGATTATGTCCAAGCCAGAAATAGACATACCCCATTAAATGGTAACTGGAGCAGTGGAAACTACCATGCAGAGAGTATGTTCAAGCCAGAAGCAAATAGACACACCCTATTAAATGGTAACGGGAGGAGTTGAAACCACCATGCATAAGTGTGAGCAGTAAACCACAACCGCTGTATACAACGGAAAAGCAGGAAGTAGAGCATGTGCATGAAATGAACAAACATAACTCTCCTTATGTACATATATATGTATTTCAAATGTTTAAAGCAACGCTTCTAAAACATTTCCACATAGTGATAAAATCATTGAAATGTGTTATGTAAAATGAATGGGTATAGTAGATGAAACAGGTCTCTGAGCTATAGATGTTATGTGTTTTCAGGTTCCAGGAATATACATTATAGCATTCACAATGCATAGGAACATGTTATATACTGCAAAAAGGGTACATATTTACAACTTCTGTTTTTAGTATTTTAGGCCCTGGCTGTATAATTGGTTATGCTGTGTTCCAGAATGTAGTAACATCACCAGAGGTAAGCAATTAGTTAACATGGCTAATATCTTTACTTCACATAGGAATAGGCAGAGCTTACATCGCACATGACCTTTAGGCCGTGGTCACACGGGTGGTGAGCCCCTCAGCCACCCGCTACAATGTCAGAACTGTGGTAGCACAGTGCTATATGCATTGCCAGGGCCTCGATGCTTTGCGTTGTGGTGCAGCAAAAAATATATAGCATGTCGCGTTTGACCGTCGGTGCTGCTTGTTAACCGTGTACCCACATGTTACTTCAATAGACAATCCCAATTGGATTTAAAAAAATAACCTGCATTCAGGAGGCAGCAGTATTGCCTCTTAAATGCCGGCCAGCTGCTGCACCACTGCCCTCTGCAAAGTGATCCACCGTGGATTGCTTTTCAGAGGACAGTAGAGTCTCAGGCCCACCAGGATGATGCCTTACTCATAACCAACAAATCCAAGGCTCAGTCCTAAACAGGTTTTCTTTAGTTTGGGTTAGTACCTGTATTGGGCTTTATTTCTGTCTCTAACCCCATTAGGGTGATTACCTGCTCACTTCCTGCCTCAATTATCACACAGGAAGTGAGTGGGAAATCACCTCACTCTCTACAGTGAAGACACCAACAGCAATAGCAGAAAAGTAGAATGATGAAACAGTAGAACTTATTAATTCAACCTTTTTGTTACTGCCTGTGTGGTCACCTGTGTAATGTTTACGTTGTTTTTTTTGGCATCTGAAGAGAGTACACAGGGGACATGCTTGGCAGAAAAGCTAACATAGCTTAGATCACACCCCTTAACCAAGTCCCATCAATATGACTAAGGGGGTGTCGTTACCCATCCTTTATGATTTCCCTATGTGGTCTGTTCCTTCTGTGATTGATGGATTCTCCTCAGTTAAGAAGGTTATGTGCCAAGTGGAGTTGAGTCAGGTTGAGCAGCAGGGGAACAGAGAAGGCCTGGCAAGTGAGGAGTTCTTATTTTTGGTCTCTTATATGTGAAGGAGAATTTGCCATATAAATGTCATACTGCGTGTGCCCCCTCTCCCTTCCTTCCCAGGGTGGTATGGCATCATTGGCCTTGCTCTTTTTGTGGGCTTTTGAGCATTCCTCCCTGACAGAGTTGAGACTAGGAAGAAGGGTTCCTGGTCCTGAATTTTGGACTGAGCAGCTAATGGAATAGTGTACCTGCCATTGGCACCAGTTTTGATGCAAAGTTGATCTTTGAATTTTTAAGTTCAAGAGGCCTGTCAGTAAAAAGAGTTTTTTGACAAATCTAACTGTGTAGAGTTCCATAACTTGAGTCATATCATATCTAGAACCTGTATAAGATAATGCAGGCAACTGTAGAAAAGGGGGCAAGGAAACAAAGAAAGTTCAGAGACTGTTGAGTTTTGAAAGGAAGAACCAGCAGTTCTAGTTATAGTGAGGCAGATTTGGTGACTTCTTGAAGGGAACCATTGTCTTCCACTATGAGGTGCTTTACAAGGAATTGGATAATAAGTGGTTGGCTGCAGATTGGAAAGGTATAGAGCAGTGGTAAACAAGAGGCATAATTAGGTCCGGTCCATGACAGGGGAAGAAGACTGGTTCATGTGTACTTTTAAGAATGTGGCACTGGGATGTGTTGTACCCATCTCCTGCGAGGAGTGAATTAAAGGTGTCCTGAATTGTGGAGAAGGAATCTCCCTTGACTATGATATCAGCGCTGAAGTGCAAAAACTCTTCTCTGAGAATGGCCCTACCCATTTAACGCACATTTAAGCAAGCCACTACCAAAAACCTGCCAGAAGATCTATGAATGAAAATGACAAAATTTAAAAGGTTTTGGTCAGAATTCTTCTTTTAAAGCCCCATTAACTCTGTAATGCTTTGCTCACTGCATATTTATGTAATTATAAAAAACATATTATATACATGCATTGTGTGTATTTAAGTTTCACAGGCAATAATATTTGTTCTCACTCTTAGGTTCAACCTCTCTTCTTACTCAGCCTTTTCGATTTGCTCCTCGCAGCGTGTTGGCTCATTGGAGCTGTTCTGTATAGGAAAGCATGCCATCAGAGTGCTACATGCTATAACCTGCAGGCACTGGGTCAGGTGAGTGCGGGACTAAAGTTTGACATACCAGGAACCCATTTTCATTATAAAGATCGGCCATAAGTATGCCAAGTTTTTAAAACATAATTTGTATCATTTTTATTTGATTTAAGTCCAGTCCTGTTGAAGTCCAGTTGAAGTTTCCATTTCTATTACTGTAATGCAGTCAGGCTGCATATACAGTAATAAATAAGGTTACATTTTTTACTTACTGTTTCAAATAACCTGTGCTACCAGCACGCTAGAGAGTCGGACCGCTGCTTCACACAGAGCGCAAGCTGTCTTAGAGGGGAATTTATCAAAACTGGAGCAGACAAAAGCTGGAACAGTTGCCCATGGCAACCAATCAGCTGCTATTCTCAGTTGGCGTCATCCCATCCACGTGAGTATCACTCGGGGTGCCGCTCTCTGCGAATCTGCCGCTCCAGGCAAACGCCTTGTTTGCCTCGCGGCAGAAACGTCCCGGTACACGATTAGAATGTCAAAAAAAAAAAGTCGTTTTGTGGATGTTCATTCGAATATCTATCAATTAGTATGGTGCAATAGAGAGACGAAAGCATCAAAATTTTCGCAGGAGCATGATGGAAATTTTTTCTCGAACAAACAAAACAAAAGTGTATTTCTCCTTTTTTGTTCGTCGTTGAGGGAAAAAATTGGGTGATGTTGTAAAGTGCCTGTGCAAACAATTATTTTCGGTTACGTCACTTGATCAGACGTTTTATTTCTAAACATTGTGATACCTTTTAAACAATCTTATAATTAGTAAGCCTTTTGTTTTTGTCGAGAATGAACGTCTGTAGAATGTTCGTACAAAATTCTAACCGTGTATACCTTACTTTAGTTAGTCATCACTAAGCATAACTCTAACTCTAAAGTTGGGTACGCACCGTTAGAATTTTGTACAAACGTTCATACGATAATCTCATCTGAACATTCAAATGTCATTCGAAATTTTGTTTGTCTTTACATTTGATTTCGGAATGAATGGAGTTTCTCGAATAAAAGACACATTTACTCTTAGAATTTTGTTTGTTTACAAAGAAATTTCCATTCTGCTTCTTCGCTTTTTAATTTTTTTGTCACTATGGTCAAAATTGATTGTGGATTTGACCCCATTAACTATTAGAAATCCCAGGAATGCTCCAGATGTGATTTTATTCGAATGAATTTCTAACCATGTATTCCCAGCTTTACACTCACCCTTGCCCTATGTGTTATGCAGGCGCTGTTACTCCTGAGGTGGGGTGATCTGTCCATGGGCTTGTGACATACAGATATCATGCAGCTTTTGTTTTTAATGTCTTTATTTATATCCATGGTTTTTTCCTGAGTGAATGAGTATTAGGTTTGTTGTAGCTGAAAGTTATTGTAGCCCTTGTGAAATTTAAGGAGGTCCTCCTCACCTCCAGATGACTAGGTCTATTCTTGTGTGGAGACAGAAACATTGACAATTACATTAGGGCCACAAGTTCAATCCGAGGCTTGTTGTGGTATGTCTCAGCTAATGTGTTTGTTCTGTATCTCAGTCGTCAGTGATCACAAGATACTGGACAATCCAGTTTTTCTCTTGCTGTGTATAGTTATATTACATTGTCATTTTTCAAAAAACAATAACTCTTCAACTGCTGTGAAATTGTGAAAAGGGCAAGTGCAAGTCAGTAATCCTTGTAAGCCAGTTTCTTGGAAGATGTGTGCTAGATGCATAGTTTATAGTTCATAGAGGAGAGGTAATCGACACTGTCTGTGTCTTCATTATGGAGATTCATCCTCTTTTATTTGTCCAGCTGACCATAATCACCAATAGAGAAAGTGAAAGAAAATCATGCATTCTGAGTTGTCATCAGAACAGGAAAAGAGGGGAAATCTTCCAATGGAAACACTTGTTCTGGTGGCCCTGAGTGACAACTAGGGATTTCCCCCTCTTTTGAGGGATTTCCTATCACTTCCTGATGTATCTATTGGACAGTAAATGAAGGGAAATCCCCCCCAATGGGACACAGATGGCAAAATATTCTGCTTCAGTGATGGAATTATCCTTGGCGTCCTCACATTCTGTACACTGTATAGGATGTAATGACTCACTAGATCTTAAACTGCCAGAGCCAAGGGGGAGCGAGGCTGAAGGGACCGGTCTAGGAGTCAGCCGGGATCACGGTTCGGTGAGTATAACTCTCTTATTTTAGTTCCCTAGACAAAACCATCACTTAACTCTTCCAGTTCAGGATAGCCCCAAGATAGGCCTTAAGATTTTATTTGTCCGGAGTTCTCTAAAGGTGGTTAGTTACAGAAATAGGAGCTTTAGCATTTTCTCACTTTACAATGGTTGACATACTTCCATTCCAGGTTTAGCAGATGTTTTTAACTTGGTCTCTATATAACATTGTTATCACTGATGGCCACCACATATTTCATATTTTTCATAATTCTTGAGAGCGCCATCTATAAATCGGCACTATTGCCTTACTGTGGGCATATTGCTGCATAAAAAATAGAAAAGGCACATTTATAAAGTACAGCAATGTGCTCTACAAATGTGCCCAGCATTCAGCTGGTTTCTGGATTCAAAGAAGTGAATACATTTGAAAAACAACAGCAATAAAAAGATGGGGAGAGGCAGCCCAACCTCATTAAAGGCCTAGGGACACATAAGGAGCCCCGCACATCACAATGGCAGCTGAAGGCCCCGGTGTGTCCCCACACCAATTCCAACAGGTGAAACAAATGGCAAACACACTCATTAATTCATAACTAGCTTTAAAGAAAGATGCACATGGAAGAGCCTCTCCACAAAACACATAATTCTTTCTTCTGTGATAAGCAGAGAGAATTGCATGACATGGCACAGGCTCTACATCATAGCCTGCATTTTATAAATGGGCTGCAAAATGCTAAAGTGTATAGTGGACCAGTGACGTGCCGTGACTTCTGTGCTCGGTGAGGCATCCCCCATCCTGCCGAAGCTCCAACCCGTCCTGCTGAAGCTCTGCCCCATCCCACCGAAGCCCCGCCCCCAGCTCGGTAACCAAGCTCTGTGGGGAGGAGGAAGGGAGGAGACAGGGAGGGGCCTCCCTGTCCCTCACTTGCTTGTCACTGCCGAGGCATCGAGATCGATGGCCACATTGGGTTTTTGTTTTCTTTTTTTTTATTGGACAGCTTGGACGAATGGCGCTTTGGCATTGGTCCAAGCCATCCACAGAGCTCACACCTCTAACACAGAGTAGAGGCTGTGACAGATCTTGCCTTACCAAGTTAGGTTACACAAGCAGTGGGGAAGCCCGCTGCTGTGTAACCTAACTACCTGTCAAAGGCCAGATGCGGCGCCGCCTGTAACTAACAGGCAGCGCTCCATCCATGACAGGTTACACAGTGGGGAGGCTTTCCCTGCTGTGTAACCTGTAACAAGCCGCTCTGAATGGAGAAAAAACTGACAGCTTCAGACTTGAAAATGACACCTTTTTTCTTCATAATACTAGGTAAGGCTCTGCCTCACCTGCCTACCCTGACCGCACGTCACTGTAGTGGACAGAAGATGGTGATATCGGCTCCCCATTATAAATTGTTCCCTTAGTCTTTGATGTCCTGCCTTGTGAAAAGTTAACAATTACAAAGTAGCACATTGTCTACATATCAGTGTAAGTGTTGGTGTAACGACAGCTTTGCTTTCACTACCAACCTCGATGCTGCCATATGTTTGCAGCATCAAACTAACATAGATAGCATTCCCACACAATCCTGGCCTCTCCAGGACTTACTACCAGTTCTAGTTCTTCTCTGACTGGGAAGTGAAACTGGTGTCCAGCTCCACAAAACTGACAACCTACTCACAAGGCTGCTATCATAGGCTCTCTCTCTGAAGGCCAACATACCATAGTTCCCTGAAGCATTAAATTACACTGGGGTTGATTTACTGAAGAATTAGGGCTTTTCACTTAACAAAATGAGTGGTCACTCAGCTTAGTGATGGTCAATTTGAATAACCATTCATGTGTGAGGAAAATAAAAAAAAAGGTTTTGCAAGCACCTGATTGGATAATTGAAGTAAACACAGCTTCACATTCTCTTCACTAAGCTCAGTAAACTACCCACCATGTAGACAGTTAGCAAAAATACAAACTTGCACCTTGTATTTTTGTAACATGTTATTACATACATACTATTGTGTTTTAAAATATGACAGTGAAAACCTACAAAGAAAAAAATAAAGGAATAGGGACTGATTGTCATTTCACAAACTCTTATTATGTTTGCACCATGAGATGTCTCGGGCCGTCTGCTGCTATAAATATAAAGAAAAAGGATAAAAGAAACACCTAAAGAACCAGGAAATGTGTGTATGAAAACACCTTGAACACCATGTGTGCTGTCTACCATTATTATAATGTAAGGAAACATTCATAGTGGGGACCGGAAATGAACACAATGGAATTCAAATAAATGGAATTATAAGCAAGAAGTGCTATTCACATAAAAATTCTGTTTAAGTGTTGGACTAGGCAAGTGTGGAGCAGGGCGAAAAGGAATGTCGTGTTACTCAGTGAATACGAATGTGATTGGATTTTGACAATGCCAATGCCTTGTATCAGTGAAATAATAAAACTAACCAGATTAAAACTCTGCGTAAAAAGTGTAGCTTCAAATTGTTCCTTTCTAGAATGGACAGTCCGTTTTTTGAACCCCTATCCTTTAGTCCCTCTTTCCTTCACAACTGTATGTATTTTAGAACTATTGCAGGGGTAGGCAACCTCCACACTCCAACTGTTGTGGAACTACAAGTCCCATAAGGCATTGGAAGATCTGATAGCCACAGGCATGACTCCCAGAAGCAGAGACATGATGGGTCACCAAGTTGTTTTTCTAGCTGTTCAATTACTTCTTTGTGGGTTTTTTTTATTTGGTATGACGTATGTTCACTTGTAAATTTAGCATTTTTTAGTACTGTTCTATTTCAACATGATCACATTGATATGTAAGAACGCTGGCTATTGGCTAGCCTGAATTTGTGGGAGGAGGCTGGCCTTTCAATACGCCCTCGGTTTCCTCACTCACCTGTCTGCTCCCACCCATACCCTTTTCCAGTACATCTTTTCTTGAGTATGTCCCATTTTAGGCATATTGTCCCGTGCGCCAATGCCCACCCAGGTCGCTGTACATAGGTTATTACGCATGCTCGTGTCCAGACTCTGACCACAAATGTACTTGAGGCCCCATTCACACCAGGGCAGTTGCATATTAGCGCGGTTTCCGCGCTGATTTTAAAAGGGATGTTTTGGGAGTTTTTAATTGCGTTTCACCGCTGGAACGCAATTAAAAAACGCCCAAAACCGTGCTGAACAGAAAGCTGTATGGAAACCTATACCTGTCATTGAAAGCTGTATGGAAACCACACTGATCAGCACAGCAAAAAAGGGTCAGGGAGCAGTTCGGGCGGGGGGTGGTTTGGATTGCGCGGACCGAGCTGTCGCATGGAAGGTCCCCATATCGATGTATGGGATTGTTCATGTCGGCGGATCCGCTCAGCCGAACCACCCCGGTGTGAACGGGGCCTGAAGGATAAGTGCAAAACAAATATATACATTTCAACAGAAAAGGGGAGACAAAATGACTTACAGCAAAGGTAGTCCCACACCCAAGGCAATAGTTACATTGTTCAAAGATATACTAAAGATTGAAGGACCACAATACCAGAGGTGATCTATAAATGGACTATGTCTATCCCCAATGCAAGAGATAACATGAAACGAGCACTGCTAGATCAAAGTGCGGGGCCCGCTGCCTATACATGGACAGACAATATGAAAACACGGACATCAAAGAGTAGGAAAAGAGAGGTACAGGGATAGCCTAGTAGATAGGCTCCCCTATAACAAGCAGAGCACTGCCTTGGTTAGTTGACAATCATAAAAACTCCTGGAATGATAGAGAAGAGAGAAGGCAAGTTTTATTGTATCTGATTGGATCCTAAAAGACCAAAAAACGGTAATTTTATTTGTGTTGGATAGCATATATTTTCTCAGATTCTGACAAATGTTTCAGATGGTTCAAACATTCTTTTTGCGATGAGAATAATTCCAATATTTTGACACAAAAGACTTTGCAGACATTAATAATGCATTAATCAGTGTCACCTCTCCTGCTCCTTCACCTGCTGACTACCCGGACAATGCTTGCATCTGATTGGATCCAGGTGCTGTTTAGCTGAAATGTTTGGGACTGGCTTCTTCCACATAATTCAATTGAAAAAGGCCATTGGCTAAAATTTCAGACAGTTCATCAAGAAGCAGCCTAAACGTATTCCGTCTATGTCCAGCTTAAGTTTGTTTCTTCTTCAGCATTCCAAATCTCTATTCCATTTTGTTATTATATTTATTTCTAGAATACTCACTGGTTTATTCCATCCTTTGATAACCGTATTATAAGCTTAGCGTGACTCTTTCAAAGGATTATCATTTTTACACTTTTCTTTCTTTTTCCTTTCTACAGATGTTCTATATTTCCACCTTTTTCTACACATTAAACTATACTTGGCAAACCTTCAGTAGCCTGAAAAGAAGGCTGGACAGTGAGGTATATAAGGTCAGTTATTGGCTAATTTTTTTATCTAAAATCATTGAAAAGATATATAATAAAATTAAATGCCAGAAGCTTGTAGCAATAATACTGCCTTTCCAGGATGTCACTAATAATGCAGTATTGTTACTGTTACTAATACGAATTGTTAGATTTAGTTTCTAATTATTTTGAAGATGGCAGTGGCGGGTATAAAATTTCCTAGCAAGTATGGAGATCCACAGTAGTGGTTCCTGGTGGTAACCACTGGCCCAACAGTGATTAAGAATAAAGACTAACAGAAAAGGGTGAAGAGTTTGGAGAAGGCAGGAGACGTGAACAAGCTAGCTCAGTTCACTTTCCAGTTCAGCTATGTTGTCCAGAATGTTCACTTCTCCCGCCCTCTCCAAACTCTTCACCCTTTTGTGAATAACCCTGTTAGTATAGCCTGTTCATAATATAATGTGCATGAATACTGGAACATTTTTTCATTTGAGATAATGTTGTCATATAGTTGCTTTTTTATTTATTACCATAGAGCCCTAATTGATGAAAAGGTTTAATTATTATACAGAAGAATATTTACCAACGGCAGTACACAGAGAGGCAATACAGAAGAGAAGCATATTGTATTATATTGTGTGTGATATTAGTCTGCCCTATATGAATGCTTACAAATGGAATTCTACTGATGTATGGTCAGCTTTACTGTTTACTGTACATTAGTACTTACTGCTATCACTGAACAAAGCACTTTGTAGTCTTTACATTGCATGAGTTTGTACAAGAGAGGACAATGATTTAAAGACCAAATTTGACGACATGCCTTGAGGGAAGAAATTGTATTTTGAAGCTGCTTTCAGTTTGTTCTTTTTGTCCTGTAAGTTCACCTTAAATGCTTCTATTTTTGCTTTTCACCTGACACCTTCCCTGGAGGCATTTCCCTGGTTCCCTGCTGACATGAATTGTACTCCTTTTGACTATTGTTTGTTTATTCAAAGCATAACCCAGAGTAACTGATGCAAAGCAACTGTCCAAGACCTAGATTCTGGATGGTACACATACATGACACTATTCTCTCAGTGTTACGGTCAGGAAAAGTGTTTAGTGATACAACATATAAGGCAACAGAGGAATGGCAACACTAGTTATTCCATGTCTGTCTGCTGGTGAGTTTTAATGTAAAAGTACAAAATGTCATGCTTTTCCTTTGTCCGCATGTAGATGTCAGACAAAGAGTCCCGCTTTGGAAGAATAGCTACAGTTCTGTGCAGGTAAAGAAAAGAAATCATACTATTATTGTGACTATCATGACTATTGTGTCACGTTTAAAAGTAAGATACAGACCTACAGGCCTTAAAGCCCAACTACATGCTCATCAGCCCCCTAGAGCTCACACCTTCTTTTCTAATAAGAAAAGTTCGGGGGGGCTGCCCCTGAACTGCAAGGGTTAAGTGCTTGTTTTGGTATAGGGTCAGAAATACCAAATTACAGACTACTGCCTGTGACAGTGCTCCCTCCTGCTCCTCGCCCCCTCCGCTGCAGTGTCCTCACATCTACACATTGTGTATGTAACTTGATGATTTATCGGACCTTAGACCGGTGCAGTGGAGGGAAAGAGAGGCTCCAGGGACCGCTCGAAGTGCAAGATTGGATGATTGGGTGAGTATATCTTTTTTATTTTTGACCCTAGGCAAAAAAAAGCACTTAACCCTTGCAGTATGAGGGTAGCCCCACCACAAGGGTTTATAACATTTTTAACTTTCCTAAACCCCTTAAAAATGTTATCAAGTCTTCTGGGTAGTCAGTGACACCCATGCTCCCATTTCTCTTCTCCTGTCGATGGGTGGTCCCCAGTAATGCAATTAGCACTGCTGAATTGATACTGCCAGCACCAATTTCTGCAACATTACACAGTGAATTGCAGGCCTCTGTGGTGACACTCCCTCAGTGGGCAGGCCTTTGACGCCCTGCACTCACATTATGCTCTTTGTCTATTGAGTTGAGTTAACTGGGTGTCATTCAACCTGGGAAGACTGAGGACATCATGCGGTGAAACAAGAGTACTGCAGAGGACAGCTTACAGTTAAGATGTTTATTCTCTTTTTTTATTTTTTTTATTTAGCCCAGAGTTGGGCTTCAAAACATTAGGGATGTTCAGATACCAGTGCCGATACTTGGCATTTTCATGAGAACTACCAGGGTTGCAGCTGTTGCAGCTGGGACCTGGCTCTGGCACTCCACCACTGCCCTGAAATCATTAGTCTGTATTGTTTCAGAAAAACAGTCACATGACAATAGACAAAAATGTATCAGTACTCGTACTTGTAAGTACTTGGACAAGTATCAGTACTTGGTCTGAAAAAAATGGTATCGGTGCATCTCTAATATATATTTATAAAACAAATCATACATTAAAATAGATATGTACAAATCCCAGGAGCTCCGTATGCTCCTTACAAATGGCAGCTGCCTCCTAACTTTTGAATTTTTCTCTAGTCTAGTCCTGGAGCTGGAAAAGTATCTTTACTTGTACTTGTACCGAGTAGGGTACTTGGTATCTGCACATCCCCCATTCAACATTTATGCAAAATGACCAAATACAAAGGAATGCAGTAAAATGTCTGTACGATTTTTGATAACTGTATGTGGTTAACACTTGAATTGTTCAAATAGTTATGCAGACCAAGCCTAAAGCACAACACCACTCAACAAGAGCAATCCTATTGATTTCAATGGCCCCTGTTCACACTTGAGCGTTGTGTCTCTTGTCGCCAGTCGCATGTAGCTCAAAAAAGTACAGAATCTTGTGATTTAGCCTTATAGACTTTTTCACAAAAAAAGTTTTATTGTTTTTAAATAAACATTACAACAAAACAAGAAACATACTTATATAGTTATGATGGTACAGTAGTCAGAGTAGCACAACAAAACAGTCAGATAATGATATGGAGATTAGTTAAGGTAAAACACAATAGCTAGGGAGGAATAACCAAGTATGACCGTTGTCAACATGGATTGCAGTCCAATAGGGCAAACAACTTTGGTCTGATGCTGGAGGTCTGAGCTCAATAGTAATGGACTACATGAACGAAAACAAGGTGGAAAATGGGGTAGGACAGCATAGTGGAGGTTGTAAGCAATATGTAGAGCTGAGTTAAGGAGAGGGGGATAGAGTATAAATTAGGTATAACTTTTTGTAGGTCAGGTAGGTACCTCATATATTCCTTCTTGAGGAGCCATCAAATCTGTAGATGGATTGGGTCAAAGTTGAACGAACTATTATAGGTGATCCAAGCTCCACAAATCTTTTTGAATTTAGCGTAGGAATCATCCAAGACGGCTGTGAGTTTTTCATTAATCATCACGCCTATGATGCGATTTTTATAGACTTTAATGAGACTTTTTATTAGGCGCTCTCATTTAAAAGTCTATGGGGCCAAAAACGCATGATTCTGCTCCGTACTACAAGTTGTACATAACACATTTTAAAATGTTCATACAAACTGCAATAAAAACCCTGAAACATCTCCATATGCTTAAAGTGACATTAAAGTCAAATCCCCCCCCCCCCCCCCCCCCCCTCTACATAGCAATATCACTGTCAAATGAT